GGGGGAGGCGCCGGCGGGGATGGGCCTTGCGACCACCGCGGGCACACGCGCGGGTTCCGGTTCCGGTTCTGTCTCCTTGGCCCGGCGCGGCTGGAGCGCGCCGAGTCGTCCCCTCCCCCGCCGACTTTTTGGGCCCTTCTCCCTGGGACTTCGGGAAGCCGCTTCACCCGGGATCCCTCCGCTCCCGGATTCTCCAAACTTGCGCGGATACCTCCGCGCAACGCTGTCAAGGGGGGTGGAGGGAAGCGAAAAGTAGTTCTGCGGGGCAGAAGCAAGCTGCTTCTCTCTCCGCCGCCAGTCGCTGTCCTCACTGTCCCTGAATGCCCTCGAGGTTCAATCCAGAGTGTAGCTTCCACCCGGGACAGCGAACGAGCCATTCTACAATCCCGGAGTTCACATCTAAAGGGTCTTCGGGGAACTCTCCGCCTCTCTCGAGCTGGAAACTTTTATTCTTTAAGGGAATGTACTCGTTCCCGGTGTCAAATGCTTTTGATGGCTGCACACGAGCCCGGGTCCACGTGCCCCGACAGTGTTAGGCAAACCCGCACACAGACAGATTTGGGGGTGGTCCACTCACCTGGGACACCTGCTGGCCTAGCCCTGCATCGGGGGTGGCCAGAAAAGACTGAGAAGAAAGGATCTGGGCCCACACTGAAGCCAGGAGTTCCTGATATAAATATTGCTTTTAGGCTGTTTTGCCTTGGCAAAATGCACTGTATTATTTGCCAAATTGAGAAAGCATGGTGCTTTCCACAGCAAGTTAATAAGCTTGTTGTGAAAAAAGATGGGAGAAGAAATACATGTGTCCAGTAAACAGCATTAGGGATCCCTTTGAAGAGTTCCCAAAGGTTTTCCGGTTTCTTTTTCGATGGGGTAGAGGCATTCAGCTATCCATGCAGTTTTATAATTGAATAATTCTGTCCCTGAAGAAATGAAGTGCCACGACACAACAGAGTTCTCCAATTCTGCCTGCAAACATCAAGTGGCTATTCCTTTTATACAATTATCTTTAGACTTCGGAGCTTCAAGCCGTGTCGGTGGGAAGAGACTTCGGCCATTTTGTGGAAATCAAATCTAATAAACTGCATGTGGAAAGGAAACAGTTACCTCTTAATAATGCTGTTTCCAAGTCATTCCACCAACAGTTCATGGAAGGATCATTATCCCTGAATAGATGCATGAGCTCAAGGTGACGTTAGAACAGGGTACAAAGGGGGGAAGATAAACAGACGCCTGAAATGACTCTCTTGCTGGATTTTTTTTTTTTTAAGTTCAGGGCACAGCCAGCTAATTTTGTAATGTTTATTTTTGGAAAGAATAGAAACAGATTCGAGTTCAAGCCACTTTCCTAATGATCAGACCTGGACACGTTGCCATCTGCTGGTAAATCCCAACATGGCAATTCTGTCCTGAAGACACCACTTCTTTCTACCTATAGCTGCAAAGAGTTCCATTAAGTCTAAATACAATAACCAAAATGCAAACCTTATCCCTGAACTCCCTCAAGTTGTCTGGCGTGTGCTGTCCTCCTCGCCTTGCTCTAATCGTGTTACAATGCAAGCTTCAAATGAATGGAGTCTGATGACTCATCAAATCATGCACTTTAAAAATAAGTTCCCATCTTCCTTTCCAGTCGGCCTCAATGCTTAAGTTTCAGGAATAAAACAAACTGGGAACGTTTCCTAATTCACCTTCTCTTCCTTGCATACAAAACCTTTTGGCAAACTGCTTTCCACATCTTTCCAAATTTAACAAACCCCAAGGTTCTAGCTGTGGGCAGAGAAGGCATTTTGCTGTGGGAAAGCTTCAGAAGATGGTCAGCAAAGGACTGAACAGCCAGCAGTTACTCACTCCAGAACTGCTGTTTCAATAAGGAGAATCTCTAATCACTAGCAAGGCCTTGGTTTTATCTAATTATCCTGATTAAAGACCTGGTTGTAGCTGTTGGCTGTTCCACTGTCCAAAAAAAAAAAAAAAACTACCTATAGAACAATGCATTCAGGAGAGCCAAGCAAACCAAGACCCTAGGCCATACATTGCCCTTTACCTAGGAAGGTGACAGCAGTAACCCAATCACTGGACATGCAGTTTTCCAATGAGACTTCCTCTAAGCCACATTTGTCCTCTGATCCACTGTTTCAACGTGTTTATTAAGGACCTACTGTGTCCAGGACTGTTCTAAATATTAGAAATCCAGTCGAGCTAAATATGGTAGCTTATACCTATAATCCCAGCACTTGGGAGGCTGTGGCGGGAGGATTATTTTGAGTTTGAAGGTAGTCTACACAGTGAGTTTCAGGCTAGCCTGTCTACAGAGTGAGGCCCTGTGGCCCTGTGGTGCGGGGGTACAGGGGTGAGGATATAGCTCAGTAGTAGAGTGCTTGCCTAAAGTGGGGGCTGATGGGGGGGTGTTCAGGGCAACAGCTCAAACAGGTGCCAAAATCAGACTGATATTCTTCCTCTTTAGGCAAACTATTTTCTGTGTGCTGATTGCTATCTTCCATATATAAAGTAGGGATGATTAACACCAAAGAGCAGATTACTGTCACCATGAAGTTGAATAGATGTCAACATTTCTACAAGCCAAAGGCCGTTTTTCTTGGCAAAGTCACAACCAAGATACAAAGGTAGACTCTGGGTTTATAAAAAAGTTACTTTATTTTTATAAAATTTAGTAGAAATTGTATTGAAATATAAATCCTTCTTGAACATATCAGTGATGATTGCACAGTAATTCAAATGCAAGTATTTCCTTTTGTCTGGGGACACATCACAGGCCAACCTGCCCTTCATTTACCTGGGTTGTAAAAAACAGGCGACCTCTTAACTGCTGAGTCATCTTCACATTGTTCTTTAAGAGAGCTGTCTTCATAGTTACTAGTTAGAACATCAAGAAAAGCTGAGATGAGGAATTCCTCCCCCCTTATCACTTGTTCAGGTGTCTTGTTATCAAAAAATAAATATAAAACCTGCAGACATTCCCTGGAGTTCACCTCAAACAGAAAGATCTACAGTCTTTACTTCTGAGGGGTAAGGGAGAAAACAGCCAGTATTAGATCAAGCCTGCTCACTTGTCTGGTCTGGAGCAGGTTGCACGGTGCCAAAATAAAAAGCCAGTTTTGTTTTGTTTTTCCTATCCGCTTGTGTGCCAAGCCACTCTTTTTGACGATGCTTTTGCTGAAATCAGCACTCCCCAGTTTCCAATTCTGCCCACAATTTTGCTGGAAAGGACCACACCGGCATATCTGGGACACAAATCACAGAAAAGGGGGCATGGTGTTGTCTTTCCAAAAAACAAAAAGGAAAGCCCAAGAGCCAAAAGCCACCTCTTCATCTATATAACAGCCACCTTAAAGGTCCCATGGTTAAAATGTCTTTCCATTTGCAAGAATGTCTACACGTTTCCAGCCTCTCCCCCACAACTGGTTTCTGTGGCCAATACCATCGATCATAAGATCATTCACTGGGTCAGTGTCACCAGTGACTACAGAATGAATGGACGCTACTTGCTGACCTTTACAGCCTTGCTTCAGTAGCACCATTTCCTGGCTTACCAACTGAATTAGCCAATTATCATTGATCTAAATAACAGTAAAAATATCAAATAAACAAATAATACTTTTTTGTCATTATAGCCCTACATTAGAGCCAGGCATGGTGGCACAAGAGTGTAATCCTAGAACTGAGACTTAAGAAGGAAGGATAGTTCAATGCTAGCCTGAGCTATGCAAGCAAGACCATATCTCAGGAGAGGGAGAAAAAGTGATTAAAAGGGAATGTATCGGCAACAAAGAAAAAGGAGGAAAGAAGGGAAGGAGAAGAGGAAGAAGGAAGGAAGGAAAGAAGGAGGGAAGGAAGGAAGGAAGGAAGGAAGGAAGGAAGGAAGGAAGGAAGGA